GCTTATCAACAATCTATCATTTCCCTATCCATTCCATTTGAATAACGATTAAATGTATTAATTGTTATTAATTTCCTTATATTGTTATTAATGTAGTTTATTAAAATGCTTCCTATTAAGCGAAGCGCTTATTTATGCGTCAAAGGTAGTAATCGAGAGAATTTGAAAAATTAGTTTGTCAGAGTTTGAGAAAAATGGCATAAACCGTGGTTTTTTTAACCTCCTCATCCAGCCCTTCACTTCTACAACTATGATTGCTTTGACTAAATAGATTATTTCATTAATTCGAGCCGGCTTGCCATACGTTCATATAGACTGTTAAGCTTTTGAGGTTATGCTTAGCTTCAATTTATGAAGCATGGATTTTGAACTACTGTAACAAACAACTAGAGTCTAAGGTTCGACATTCGGTATTTGAACCTTACAGGAGCGACTCTGGTACACGTCAGAACGACCCTTGAAACCCTCAACCTTCCCCCTCGCGTTCCGTCGGCGTCTCGACGAGCGAATTGAAAAGGCCGCCGCGGCGGAAACAAATCGTCGCGTTTAAACCACACTCATCGCCGATGTGTTCCGCGATGTTTGCACGACTGCTAATGAGTGCGACGTACACCACCTGGCCGGCGTGTAATTACTCACGGGATCGGCCGTGGCCAGGTTTAATCGTCGCCCACAAATCGACAAGCCGTTAATGGAGAATAGTATAAACGTGGGTTGAAGTGAATGTTGGATACAGGATACATTTCGATACACGAGGCCACCCCCGGAATTACGCGATCGCGCCCCGCGCTCGATACACGCTACGAACATCGAGATTATCGCTCGCCGACGATAATTCTTTCCCGTTCAGCGAACTCGTGTTCGCCGCGATTTATCGCACGATTACGGAGATCGCGATTACGTCCTGGCGAGATCGTTTCGAATCAAACGGATTTTTTAGCTACAGTTTCGTTGACGTTTTCATATTCGCTTCCAGCCGATTTTCTTTCTTACGCATGCGCGTTGTTGAATGATCGCAGAATAATTTTGTCACCTCCACGGGTGAACATGTGTAAATATTGAATTACAAATGGGAAATTGTTTGAATACTGTTAAATTTTCATTAAACACGACTAAGTCTCGATGAACCTGATCGACGAAATTCGCTTTCGGTTTCTATAGCACGTTTCAAATTTGAGGAACAGCTCCTCTCTTTTTTAAAAGCATACTTTTTCATGTTCAATTAACAAGCTTCTAATTAAATTTTCTTCTCAGCAAAAATCTGGTCTGTTTTTACGTATTTATTAAACTGCGTCAAGTCTCGATGAATTCGATGAAATAAAAATGCATTTATAATTAGTTTTTAGAAAACTGTGGGTAATTTCGTGGTCATTAAATTCTATAGTCATTTTTCAATCTAAATCAATCGAGGGACAGCTTCTCTCTTTTTCAGGAACGAAGTTTATCTAATTAAATCATGAAATGAACGAGCTTAATTAAGTTTTTTATCAAGGATAATGTACTGTGTTAAATTTTAATTAAGGTACGTCAAGAAGTCTCGATAAAGCTGATGGACGAACATGCATTTTTAATTGCTCTTCGGAAATCGTTCAATACTTTCGTAATCACTGATTTCGACAATTCTAATTCAACGAAAAACAACTCTCCTCCTCTTCAAGGACGAAATTTTTCGTATCCAATTAAATCGTGAAACTAACAAGCTTCTAATCAAGGTTTCTCCTCAGAAACAATAAGTAATCTGTTAGGTTTTTATTAAATATCAAGAAACCTCCATGAACCTAATTAATAAGA